CACAGTTTCAATAACTATCAAATCCTAGAACCATTATATAAAAGACGGTTCACTGTACTAATGATGATATGCAAAAAAGTCACCCTTGGCTATTTTCTTAGACTTCACAGGTAAAGATTTACACCGAGAACAAATCACAACAGCACTTCTATGCCCCCGAATGAGCAAACATGAGCTTGCTAACTACTGCTGACTAGACTAGTCTTCCTTCACCCCAGCCCAAAACTGACGTGTAAACATTTTAAACTACACAGCATAATGCAACTCAGGCAACGATCAAACACTTTTGATACAAAACAAATAAAAAGCTTACTTATAGGAAAGAATCTATTGGAAAATTTAAGCCTGCATTTGTTTGTCAAGCATACATTCCTAGCATTCTGCTAGGGTGAAACCAAGTTCAGCCAATCTGCAGTAATATCCACTAATTATAGTATAAGAGCCATTGCTAAAGGATAAAGTGGTTGTGAAGAGGGTACCAGACAGTTATAAAAGGAACTATGTCTGAACTCGATTCAATACACAGCATTAAACTTCATTTCTACTACAAACTCAATTGAAAACTTTTGTATAATGTATATCCTTCTGATACAGAAAACATAGTTTCATGACACTACAAGAGTATCTTCTTACATACCTAAGGTGGCCTACAGCTTTGGTACGCACTAGTGAAAGGAGAATATAATCATTTTGTTGACCTTGAAATCTGTCCACAGTTGTTACCTAGAGAATCAAAAACCAAGAAAAAACTTCCACAGGTTAATCTTTGCTATTGCAATTAAAATGTCATACCAAATCTTAATATCAACTACTGACTCAGATTGCAGTAAATGGGAAAAGAAAATCCTTTATCGCTGTTTTAGTTGCCCTCAAACAAAATCATCAGCCTGTTCTTTTTGGGAGACATTAGGAGGAGCTTTTGTCTGACTTCACACTATTTCATTTAAATCTTTAGTCAGCTCAGACAGCTAGGAGTGGGGTGTTGATACCAAAAGATTGTGGAAAGCCACCAGTGTCATAATACAGAGTTTTAACCTTCAGAATTAGCACGGTTTTTTTATTTGTTTCAGATTCATCATCATATGTTTCATCAAACCATTTCCCCTCTAGGTGGAACTTCCTAGAGGTGTGGTTTCAGTGGCTGTTTGTTTTTTGTTTGCTATTTATTTTGTCCTCAAAAAAGACAAAGGAAAAAGTTGTTCTGTCCCATGTAGTCTGTAGCCTTTCCAAGCTCACCAGCTGCACCTTTGTATGTCAAATCACAAACAGGCAGAAATTAGGGCACTAGTCTATGAAACTCCATAGAATGTAGATAAATGAAATACATAGTTAACCAGGGAATACTTGTGCAGAAAGCTGTAAATCTATTAAATTAGTCTGTTCTATAATATGACAATTTAAAAATAAACAAACCAGAATCATTCCAATGACTGATATATTTCCATTCACCTTGTTTGGCCGTCCCATCAGTGGATTATTTCCACACCGCTGATTAATGACGTCACGGATCAGGTGTTTCTGGCCATTGTATGTTGTCAGGATACTTATCTTGTCTGCAGGATAACCAAGCAGGCACATATACATGAAGAGTGCCACAACATACTCTGCTTCGCCAAGGTTCTTAGGTTTAAAAGAGGAGCGAAAAAGAAAAGGGAAAGAAAAAAAAAAAGGAGGGTTATTTAACCTTTGAGGCTGGAAAGAATAACGCTTGTGACACCATCACGTATTTAGGCAAAAATCACAGTGTGAGAGAAATGTCTCAAGATCTGCCATTTCTTTGCTCATTTAATAAAAGTCATTTTGAAAGAAAAGAAGAACGACAAGTAGATTTAACAATTTCATTCTGATTCATCTTCACAAAACCGCTGAAAATATATACATCACTATCATTGTTAGCCATTGACAGACACTTTCCAACTTTTACTCAGAAGCAACCACTTTTATTTCAGGAAGATTAAATTCCAAATATTTTATAGTCCTTGAATAAAATAATAAATTGTTCAAACACTTAAATTATATAAATGTTTAATAAACCATAAATATCTAAATGCATTTATAACTGTCTGCCCAAGGGAGCTGCCACCTTAACTATATTTTTACAAACTCAACCAATGCAATAATTCATTTTTTACCTTCTTAAAGGTCACATGCCAAAACTCCATCTGTATTGTAAAACTGTGCAATAATTATTTTTTTTAAAAAAAACTATTAGAAGCTGATCATCTACAAATACCTGTATTTAAATAAAACGGTTTAAAAAACACTTAGCACCAATGCAACATGGTTCCAATGAAGCAGGCAAAAACGTTGCAATGATTCACTCTCCAGTAAGCTCCAAGTAAGAATTAGTTGAATGAGAATAACCAAACTCCTTTCAAGTATTAATTACAAGACAGAAATCTGGATTATCAAATCCAGTTATTTCTCCTGCAGGCCATACCTATTCAATTTCAAATGACCAGCTGTTATTTTGTATTTTGTAACTTTTTTTCTGTGCCATTACTTACAGCATTATTCTTTTGGCTATAGGAAGCTTTACTCTATTTTCAGACTGAAGTTATTCATAGTCTGTTTAAATCCATTTTCTGTCAACAAAAATTATCTTCCAGGTTATAAAGTTGCTTTCAATTCCTGACTTTTATTCCTGCTCTATTTATACTGGGAATCTAATCCCCACTTGGACATACCAGCCTCATTTATTCTTTTATTATTAAATGGGCTCTGCATTACTTGGCAAATGCAGTTGCCAGGCATATCAAACACCTGTGGGTGTAAAGCCATTCTACAAATTTTAATCCCCTTTAAGTCTGGAAAGAAATGCCCAAATTCAGAAAGAGAAATAATATATGGCAACAAACCGTTATCTCATTAAAAAACCAGGCTATGCCACCAAGATACTCTGCTAATACCTCTCAGTCCTCAAGATCATGACAATCTGTAGCAAGCATTAGAACAGTTTGTTCATGAAAGCAGTGTTCTGTGTCCTTGCGGGAGTGTTCTCAGTCGTCTCTGGCCCTGGAGTGGTCTAAAGCAGTGCTCAGACTTTCAGTTATCGCAATCTCATTTTTAAGGCGTTAATTTCAGTTGTTGCTGTTCCACAGGACTACTCTTTACTACTTATACAATGCAGTATTACAGCTCAAAAACCAAAATCAAAATAAACTCTCCCCTCCAAACAACTCTGTCCTCAATCTAGAAGTGAGATCAAGTGGATTATGAGTCACCTTTGCTTTCTTCACTAACAGCACAGTAATTTGTATTAATTATAGAAAAAATAAGTGAGAGGAATCCAAGCAAAATCTATTAATACCGTCCACATTTAAAAAAAATAGATTAACATAAACTCTCAGTGGTCTTCATAGGGAAAAAAACTACCATCTATGTTATCATCTGAAAGTATATCTTTTGCTTTCCCTAATATTAAGCAAAACATAAGGTGTTCATTCTATGAATTAAACTCATTAAACTCACACATAGCTCCAGCTTCTAACTTCTCCAGAACCCAAACAGGCGATTTAGACACATTGCTTCATCACAGTTTTGAAAAGAAATATAAGAGAACTGAAAAAATTAGCATCTTACTACAAGTGCAAAAGATTTTCCTATATACAAGAGAAACAGATGGAGGCTGTTGTTGATAGCTTAATTTGAAAATTTAGTTGAGCAATTCCAAGGCAAAGTTTTTCTTGGCAATTCACTTCAGCCTCCATGTCTCTCTGTCTCTTAAATATATTTCTTACAATATTGTTTTATTCTTTTCTGAATAGGCTTTTTAGTATTCTTATGTATAGATCAATCTTCAAACTCAAATATGTCACAGAACAAACTGATCCCTCATGTACAGGAGAAATGCTACTATCACAGCAGGACAGTTGAATTACAATGGACTTTGTTTGCCATAGGCCAAAACAATGTTTCACCAAATCTCAGCCCTCCCGTAACACAGATAATATAGAAAACATAGATAACATAGAAAACACAGATATCAAGCCAAATCATCCACTGTGAGCAAAAAGCACAACGTAATAATCAACATTCACTCATTAAAAGGAGGAAAAAAACCATACAGCAAACATGCACACGACTCCATTATCTGAGAACATAAACTAAACATCAGTTTACTGCATTTGATAGTCCATATTCCTTACAAATTTAATAATCCATATCCAAATTAAATAAAGTATACCTGTGTCAAGGTTTGGGGCTGGGCTAGTCACTATTTCTCTTACCTGATAGAAATAGGGATTGGGTTCAGACTCTCCCACACCGTTGAAGTCTTCCACATTTATAAGCTGGAAGTCGTACAAAAACCCAGCGTTGGCCGTTCTGAACTCCGGCAGCAGCTGCACGTGAGGCAGGTTACCCAGGTTCTTGTAACGCCAGTTGTAGAGGTTACACAAACTGCTCAAAAACCACAGAGACAAACCCCAAACAGTTAAAGCACGTTCTTGAACTCACTCAAAGTAGTTCAGACGCACAGAACCCCTCGCTTCCAAGATTAATGCTGCTGTAGCTTTTCACTGAAAAAATAATTGTGGTGGAAAGCCTGTACAGATATAAATGAACATACTTGTACAAGCTGGTCAGCTTGGATCCTGGTTGGTTCTCTCACAGAAAACTTCAGATTTCACTTCAGTGCAGCACACTTAGCCTTAAGCCTGTTCCACTCGCTCAGCTTGACATTGAAGAGTACTAATTTTGCAAACAAATACACTAGGAATTTTCATGGAATATTAAGGAATGTTAATGCTTCTTTACAAAAAAAGGAAAGAGTACAGAAAAAAGGATTTCTGCATTATTCATTGTAAAGCTTCTTACAGCAAAAAGATATTTATTTTCTTATTTTGTGTATCGCCATGTAATAGCATGTGAAGGGAAGCAACCAAAATCTGTCAATTTTGACTCATCTCTGGTATTTATAGGGACAGTAATATAACCAAAACGCTTCATTCACTAATGCACAACAACATCCCAACTCGGTAAAGCAGCAGTTCATGGGGAAGCTACCCATGCTTAGAAAAGATAAAGCATAGTAAAGCACAGAAAAAAATCCTTGATCAAGAAATTGCTTGCAAAGTGAAGGAATTCTTCTGCTCACTCACCTCTAACAAATTTGCTGAGATGTTAAAATAGTAGATGGCAAAATAAACTTCATTTATCATCATACTCAGACATAATCTGCATTTTTAAAATCATACTGAACTGTTGTTCAGATGACTAGAAAATAATATTCTACCTGTAATATTTCCTACATGAAAAAAAATGTTCTGCATATTGTTTACTCCATTTTATGCCTAAAAAAATTAGGATTTAAAATTAAATTTAGAGTAGCAATATTTCATATAATTTCCTCTTCATTGGTTTTATTTTCCTTGTTAATATGACACCACATATATGCATGTTACACAATAAATAGATTTGACACTTAAATTACCAAAATCACAAATGTGAAATGACAAATACTTGGATAAAAAGGAAAAATTATCTTACTACAGAGATGCAGTATCTCTTTTAACATAAAAAAGGCTCTATGCTCTTGTGCGGACAACTTGGTTGTCTCCACAATAGGCGCTCTGCTGAAATACTACAAGAAAAGCATCCTTTTGCAGAGTTTGAGGAAAATATAACATATTCAATGCTAAACAAATCAAATATTTATTTAGTCTTTAATATATTAAATAGATTAGTTTAGAAAGTGAAGCTGCTGCAAAAAAATCTTGGCTGCAAAAAAACTCTTTAGACTACTAAAGTTTCTTTAAATAGATTTCCAATAAATTATTCATACATTAGCAGAGCACTACTATATAAAAAAAAAGTACGCCTGCCTGCATTTCAGCAAAGTAAAATCAGTCTTCCTAGTCTAAGCTGGAACCGAACAAAACAAATTATAGTTTTGCAAACTCCTATCCTAACAATAAGAACAAATTTTTTTAAAAATTACACATGTGTTTTTCCAATTTTTAACTCCATATTTTTTTACAAGCTAGATACAATATTTTCTCTGTCTCACCTTGCTCTTGCTCTTCCTTGTGCATCCAAATCAACGGTTGGCACTCCAACCCGAACAAACCGTGTAAAGAGAGACTGCTCCATGTTGGAGTACTTTTGAAAAGCCATGTTCTTGATGACTGGTGGCAACTGATGATGGTCACCAATCATAATCCACCGCTTCAAACGACTGAATCCATCCTGGGGATTCTAGAATTAAATAATTACACAATTATAACCATTACAATATAACTGAGGCACTCAATTACAACATGTAAATAGTCAAATTGGCCGTCTTAGCTTATCTCCTAAATTTCAACAGTTTTCTTAAGCTACAATGAACTGCAACCATTTTAAAGATTTTGTTAACTTCTTTCCAATCTACCACTACGAAAAAAGGAGTAGTATTTTAAATAAAATCTTGCTTCTTAATAAAGCAATGGTTAAGTTTATCTACTGAAATCAGTAGAGAAACAACAGGATAAATATTACATTACACTGTTTTAAAGGCCAGAAGTAACATGTAATCAGAGGACAAAAGGTATAACCACAGTTACAGAAGTTATAGCAGTAAAAAATACTGATTTCTATATGGCAGTGTCACCCTTGAATAGTCCTTTAAACTTTATTTTCTGGACCCTGAGACAGTGAATATGAACTGCCTGAAGCATCTGAAACAGTTTTAGCGCTCACATGTCTGAGGCACAAACTGAACTTGCCTTTCAAGTGTCTCTGAAGAATCACAGAACAATCTTGGTTGGAAGAGACCTTCAGGATCATCGAGAC